AAAAAAGGAGAAAATGAGATAACAGATCTTAAAAAAAAAAGAAAAAAAAAGAGGCATCTTAGAAAATAAGATTAATTAGTATTATTCACCAAGTAGAAACACCGAAATTATATCCAGATAATCCTGAAAGTCGGTTTTAACAATCAGGAGTAACTTTTCCACTAAAGTTCCAAAAAGAAAAATTTATAGACTTATAAAGAAACTCTAGCTTACATGACGTTGCTGGAGCTGACTCTTGGTCATTGGCAATGGGTGATTATGTGTTAGAATCGTCATATTCTCATTACGAGTAGCGAACCTGAGTAATGCTGAATTCATCAAATTAATAAAAGTAGGGGCAGCATGCTGACATGAACTGTTGTGGAGAATAGTATAACCGAGACTCCCATCTTCACCCTGTTTATCCATAACAACAGCTCCATACCTGCACACATAAAGAAATAAGAAGACAAATTAAGTGCACTGAGATTGGCAAAAAATATGAAAATGGACCCCGGCTCATGAATCGTTTTGAAATGTACAGCTCTCAAGGTTACTTCAAACTAAACTTACAAAAATATCCCTTTGACCACAGGTGAACCTAATCTAAATACCTCGACTGATAGGATTCGTTGTAGCTAGACATGAGATATTGACTCATTGCAAGTAAAGTGGGGCCCAAAGTCGGCCCAGCAGCTTCAATAGCATCACTTAATGCCTTCCTTGAATCAGGAAACTCATATGTAGTTTCTCTATATCTCTGAATCCAGCCTCCATGCACATGCTCTGAAACCTATTGTATGCAAAACACTTCATGTATGAGAAATATTTCTACATAGGGGAAAACACACACACACACACATCCCCCTATATATGTGTTGACCTAAGGACAGGCTTAGATGCTTCGGGATCCTATTTGTCATATTTTTATGCTTTGAATTGATACATAATTAGGCTCGGGTGTCATGTCAAATGTCCATTAGGCATGTTTATTTCCATAATACATTAAATATTTTCCATTATTGAAACAATCATTATTTATCTCATTCCAAATTTTTCATCCATGATACTTTTCATTTTATTTCTTTTTTTTTTTTCTATAACATATCTTCACTTAAATCAATCATATTAATTTGTTTCTCATGTCAAATGTCCATTAGGCATGTTTATTTCCATAATACATTAAATATTTTCCTTTATTGAAACAATCATTATTTATCTCGTTCCAAATTTTCTTCCATAATACTTTTCATTTTATTTCTTTTTTTTTTCTATAACATATCTTCACTTAAATC